ACCTCGGGTTGTCAGGATCCTCAGGGCTGTCTGAAACCGAGCTCCTCGGTGACACCTTCGGGCTCTGCTCTTCGGGAGCATCTGGTGGTGGTGGTGGATAGAACCCTTTGAGAGCAGGATACATGTAGCACCTAAGGCGATCGCAGAGGAGGTCGGCGTACCGGGCCGGAGTGCAGACTGAAACGGCCTTCGTAGCTCGTGCGCTGGTGTAGCAGATGTTGTTCGTCTGTAAAGGTTAGGTATGAATCTAATTTCAGCAAGATATAACTTACAATCTTCTGGAGTACGTCGAGAGGATAATTGTTACCATTGAAGATGACAACATAGTGAGCGCTACGAGCAGTGCCGAGCTCGCTGTGGTGACTTTGAAGATAAAAACTCTGGTGATTTGGAGTCACCACTTTCGTATCAACCACGGTGCCGGAATCGAGGTTTATATCCACGCCTTTGATTCCTGCTACACAATTGTTGAAAGGAAAGAACCGAGCGCGGTGCCGTTTGGTGACGACAAGGAGGGTCAATTTTGGGTTCCACTTGTCTTTCAAAGCAATACCGTTTCCCTTGCTTTTCTTCAATTCGGCAAAGGCTTGTTCACAGCCGTTAAGAATTTGAGGCTTTTCTTCGTGCAAGACCATACCGTACTGGCTCTCGCTGACTCCATCTCGATAGAAGAGTATGTGATCAGGCAGTTTCTTGTTCCACTGCAATTTCTTCTTTGCGGGATCCGCGATTGCTGTCTTGTACCACGCAATGACACGTTCCCTCATCATGCCAGTCAAGTCTGAGATAAACTAATAGAGATTTAGTAAGAAATCTGTGTATTAGGACTTGTGCTTACCTCTTGCCTGCCTTTCTGGAGGCGTGCTGAACCAAGATATCGGCTTGACACGTCGTCGTCAGTACCAACAACAGCTGCCATGGATGGGCAATGATCGATTCCCTGGCCTGGATGCGTCACATCTGCACCGACTATCATGGTGTTGAGCTTGGCACCAGAAATTCCTTGTCCATGAAAGTCGGAATGCTCTATTCTGTGGCTTACGCCTTGGAGTTTGAAGTTGATTTTCAGACTGAGTGGTAGATAATTAGTAGACAAACCATGCGGTTGCAAATATAAACTTACCAGACATTGGCACAGAGGGTTTCATCTTTTATCTTCTTAAGCTTGGCAAAGGTCACACAGACTGTCAGAATCCCAGCTTCACGATCAGCCCAGTTCTTGAGTTCCTGATACAATCGGATATCTCTCGAGGGTAATATCACCAAGAGAAATGGAATCAAAGATTTAGATGTGCCAAATTCGGAAAGTGCAGCTTCGAATATAGCACGGCATGTTTCTCGATAATCTTCCTTTGGTCCATCGGATGAAGGTGGCGTTTTTAAAGATTCTTCAGGCGGTTTGATAGAGACCTTCGCGTTGCAAAGCTTGTAATGTACAAGCTTAGCTAGTAGGTGTTTAATAAATGGAAGCACTTCTTCGTTCGAAAAATTAATGACAATCAAAGTCTTAAAATCAACACCCCTGTGTGCAAATTGTGGGTGAGCTTTGAGGTTCCAACTTCCGTTGCTGATTGGGACATTGTCTTTCGTGGCGAATATCAATCTGGGAGCTTTGAGCTTTGGCGCAACGAGGTCCACCATCTGGGGAGTAGTCGTAATACCAAAAACCTGTTACATAAATTAGCTCTCAGCTTTGAAGGGGTATACATGACTTTAAGGGCCTCACTGAACAGTGGGAGTTAGTCGATTTCAGTCTCAACCATGAATAAGCTTTCGGGAGGTACTCTTTGTTCTGTTGTGGTCTTTTTGTAGCCTTGTCGAGCATTTCTTTCGAATACGCATCGTCGACTTTCTCTCTAACAATTTGCCAGTCAATGATGGTAAGTTTTGTTGCCGGGTACCATATTTTTCGACCCTCGCTACCAACTTTGATACAAAACGCATCCCAATCCTTGCTCTTCCACGGGTGGTCGTACGCTGTAAGATGGTCAGATCGGATGCAGCACATGTCGAACTGGTAGGCAAAGCTGTAGGACTTACTGTCTTCTAAGTACTTGGATACCTTGACTTCTTTTTTTTCCTTATTCGGGAAGGTTGTATTGCAAACCTTCTCCCAACCAATGTTACAAATCACAAAAATTCGGCTTTCTTGGTGAAGATCCAACGTTACTCGGATGTCCTTCAACTTCGACTTGAATTCCTTGTTCGGTATGGGTCTCTGATTTCCCCAGCACATTTCGATCCAAGTTTGAAGATTAATAGGTGAATAGAAAGCGGATGTGACAACATTCACGTTCAGAAGCAGTGAGCCCACACCAGGCCTCATCGAGGAGAAGAAGCCATTACGAATGAGGTACAATGAGGTGCTTCTCTTGGATTCCTCATCGCGCTGAGTAATCAAGTCAAGCGGATAAAACTTGTTGCCCACTCGACCCCCTGACAAGTTTGGACTGTTAATTTCCTTCCAAAAAACAATATTGAGAGCCTTGAGCTCGTTTACTATGTCTTGCAAGTATGTTCCACCCTTCACGTGGGCGGCTAATCCTTCAGCGTTTACCATACCAAGAAATTTTACCTGGGACTGGATAAGGCGATTGTTCGGTTGATTGGGATTACTGGAGAGCCAGTGAGGGGTCTCTGTGATTTGGCTTAACTCATTGGCAGAGTTATTGTAGAGAGGGCCTGCAGAGATGATGACAGAGTCGTAATCCGTGGCATAATCTTGATTGTGAGGTTCATTTTCTTCAAGAAGCCTTCCAATCAAATGGCATTTCGTCTCCCTTCTCAGCTTGCGCTTATCATCCTTTTTGGTCCGTACAGTGATTGCATCATTCTCGTCCTGCACAATGGCTGTGTCATTCGAGTGGTCATCGTCCTTCTTTTTGAGTTCGCCGAGAATGATGGCGTAGCGGTAGAGCGAGGCTTTGGCATCGATCTTAACCTCGAAGAAATTTGCCTTGATTTTCTCTCCTCCCACGTTTGGAGATTGACCAACTTGTCGTTTTGGCAGAAGCTTTTCCGCTTCCTCCCACTTCTTTCGGCGGGCTGCAATTGGGTCCTCCTCCGAAATTATTGGGGCACTTGATCCTTTTACAATGATTGGCAAGCCAGGTTGTGAATTTCGAGGAGACTCTGGCAGGTTTTGGGAAGCAACCTGGCGCTGAGAAGACGAGGTTGGTGAAGACATCGCAGGCTTGGAGGAAGTTAGCTTCTTCCTTGCTGGATTTTCGAGATATGTCTGCCGATGCTTGCGAGTGAATTGATTTATCTGTTCGTCGCTGAGATTGTCTGCTTTCGCACCTGACTTGAAAGGACATTTAGCCTTCAAATGATCGTGGCCGCACAACTGGCAGAAGTTGTCTTTCCGATCTGGACAATCTGAAAACTCGTGGTCGTAGTCAAAACACTGGTCGCAGAACTGCTTATCATAGATTGGGAAATCCGTGTGATGAGGACAGTTCAATGCTGAATGAAGTTGGGGTTTCTTGCATTTTCCACAACCCTTCATCTTCGTACACTCGATCGGGTCAGTACATTTACCGCCACAACAAGAACACTTGCCACCGTCCGGCTGTTTGGCGCCAAGACCACCAAGGCCTGGGGTTTTGCTCATCTTTTTCTATGCAAGGTTTCTTCTCTCAGAGTTAAATGCCAGATCAGGAATTCCAAGTTACGAGTCACTCAGAATAAAAAAACAGAGTACGGGATGACGAGAACCCTACTGTCTTGAGGGAGAACAGGATCAGTAATATAGGAAATTGGCCAAGTTTGGTTTCCGAACATGCAGGTTTGTAAAATCCTACTGACTTTAAAGAATGACCATTTCTGCAATTTTGGAATCAGCAAATAGGGGTTTCGGTAATCAGAGGATGAATGCGAATAGGGGAAATTTGAAATCTTGCATGACATCTTGGAATTTCCATTTCTCATTTGCTTAGATCACTGCATCGTGACTAAATGAAACAATTAGTTTGCATTGAGATAACAAGAGAGCATCTAGATCATGCTCACAGTTGCGGAAACTTTTTTGGGTTCTGTAAATAGCAATCCAAAGGTCAAGTTTAACATTTTCTGGTAGGAAACCAGGGAGAAAACCACTCAAAAGAAAGCCAAGAGGAGCACTTTGCTCTCACGGGCGGCCACTCGGCGGCGATGGACAATACGTATAATCCAGCAAATAGCCCGCTCTCATTCTCTGCTTTCCTCGACCCTCCGACAGATAAGAGCGACGTATTCCTTTGCTAGGCCTACAGCATGGCCACTTAGCCAACGTGCATAGCCTCTGGCCTCAACTTCGGAACTCCTACTTTTTTCTGCTCTGCGCTTGCTGTGCTTTGACTGAAGGCTTTCATTATTCAGTTGCGTTCAGACATTGTGAATTGGAGAGGAAGTCTCCATCGCGGTTGAAATGAAGACTGTCCGCGAAGGGTGCCGCGAGAGGTGTATAAAGGAAGATGGAAGTCGCGTTCTTGAGTTGAAGTGATCATAGGCTTTGGCCAAATGTGGCAAGTGGCGTAATCACATGACTATTTCTCATGAAATGCGAGTCTTCAAGTTGTATTAAGAATCAAATGTACCGTTTCCAAAAGTAAAATGAGTTTAAGAAGTTGAGAGAATTGCAGAGTTCATCACTTCCAGCAGATGTGATGAGTTAAAGGTTAACACGAGCTGAATTTTACCTGCCAGCATTTTCTTTACGACCTTACCGTTTTACTTACAAGGCAGCAAATTATTATGAATCATACCATAAACAAGACTTCCACATAAAAATCTCAACAGACCTGGCACTTGCTTGTCTGAGAGAGTGTATTGACAATGAGTTGAGGTGATAAGTGCTAGCGCCAAAGTGCCGCTGCCTTTCACATTTCAGGGGCCTCAAGCTCGCTTAATCTTTTAAGCTAAAAAAAGGTCACAACCCCCAGAGACTCAAAGCCTCTACCAACACACCCTTCACAATAAACAGTAGCACTATGCAAAAAAGCAAAAGAGATGCACATTTGGGGCTCAACCGGGATTTGAACCCGGGGCCTGTCACAATTTCTCCTCTCTCGAGGGGGCACAAATGTATGTTCCCGAAGCGACAATCATACCACTAGACCATTGAGCCATTTGCACATTGTAGCCGAAATTTTCCTTATTTTGAACTATACAGGTCAGAGAGGGAATCGCTGGATCAGGAATGGTCAGAAGTTGGGGGCGGTGTGGGATTGGTGGGTATAAATAACTTGCCGAAGGGGGCCGAAGTTTGTCCGGTGAGTCCTTGGATTTGATAAGCTTGCGATGAATTAAGAATCATAAATCTTATTACGGGGTTGTTATTTAGCTGTCTCTTTGGTCTACTGTCTCTTACGAACCAAGGTCCTTTCTGAGGCAGGTAAATTTGAAGTTCTTGTGATCTGTTGGATAACAACTTGGGTCCCATTATCGACACACTTTGCTGCGCTCGGAGAGGTAAATAGACTGTTGCAGTGGTGTTGGGCAGAGCCCAGGTCGAAGCTGACGCTTAGGTACTTATTGCATTGGCGGTGGTATTTTCTTAGCAGGTCTCCGGTCCCTTGGCCAAAGAATCAAGTGGAGAGGGTCGGCGGGAACGGGAGGGGAAGGTCCCATTCTTGGTGGTACAGTGCACTGTGCACACCACCGAGATTCATGGGAGAGAGCTCAAGGAAAATATTTAGATTGTGGCATCGTTACTAATTATACAAGCAGCACAAGAAGCGAACGCTCAAACAGGCTAATTTTGCGCCCGTGCTTTCCTCTCCATTTATCTACCGTCGCCGTTGCCAGAACCTATCTCCTACCCTGTGACAATGTTGACTCAATTACTCTTAGAATAAGCATCGTTGACCTCCTTCTCATACTTCTTGAGAATACCTCGTCTGTTGAGCTTCTGGGCAGAAGTAACCAAGCCCTAGTGCTGTTAGTGAAAGTCTGGTTCACAAAAGCAGTTGGCACTTACGTTTTGAGGTGTCCACTCCTCATCCGCCAATACTACACCCTCAATGATCTCAATCCCGCTCAATCCACCGGCTCTTCCAGCTTGTTGTAACTCCTTCAATACCGCAGCCTGAATTTTCGCGTTGTGCGCCAAATCCTCGATACCGTTTCCCTCAACCCCAATTTTCTCTGCCAGCTTCTTCAAGGCCGGTTCCGCTGGTACAATGATAGCAACTGGCTTTGTCCGTTGTTGATCAGCATAGACACAGATATTAGCCACCACTGTAGCAGATCTATACACTGATTCTAGCTTCTCCAGAGCAATGTACTCTCCATTCAGTGTCTTGACGAGATTCTTCTTGCGATCGATGATCTTGAGATGACCATTCTGATCCCATTCTCCAATGTCGCCAGTCTTGAACCATCCGTCCGAAGTAAGAGCTTCCTTGGTCTCCTGCTCATTTTGGTAGTAACCTTCCATGACAGTCACGCCACGAATCCAGACCTCGCCCTGAGGATTGGGTTTGTTGGTTGCGTAATACCCTGCATCAGGGAAGTCGACCAGCTTGATCTCGACAGATCCAGGAATATTACCATGTGCATCATCGGTCCACTCAAAGGGGTCCATAAGCGCGCCCATGGCAGTCGTCTCCGTCAACCCGTATCCGTTGATCATAGGCGTGATGGCCATGGAGATGAAACGTTGAGTATCCTTTGCAATGGGACCTCCTCCATTCATACAAATTCTCAGCCGTCCACCTGTTGCTTCCTTCACCTTCTTGAAGACTATGGCATCAAGTATACCAGAACCAGGCAGTCCCCAGTGTAACAAGTTGTTCTTAGCCCAGAGAGCGCTCCAAAACAGGTTCTTGACAATTGGGCTGCCCGAATTCACTTTTGCGACAATGCCTTTCTTGACCGACTCCCAAACAGCAGGCACACCGACAAGGACAGTGGGCCTGAACTCTCGGATATCTCCCTTGCAATTCTTCACTGATGAATCTGAGAGGGTCTTGGGATTGCCATAACCCATAGTTCCACCCCAGTATAAGCAAGCATTTTCGAAAACGAATTCGAGGATATGGGCGAGAGGAAGGTAGGTCAAAAGACCGTCGCCAGGACCGAGATATGGCTCTACAATGACGCTGACACCAGCGACTAGATAAATCAGTACCTTCATTGCTCAATACGGGATTCCAGACTTACCCGCACCAACGACGGCCTTGTGTCTGAGCGGCACACCCTTTGGAGGACCAGTGGAACCGGAAGTATACATGATACAGCATAGATCATCTGCAGTAGGGGGGACAGCTTCCACGGGGTTGTCTTCTCCAAGCTTCCGGAGCTCCTCGAAGCTTAGGATAGTAAGGCGGTCGTGAGCCTTCTTGAGTCTGTCGATGTTCTCCTGTTTGACCTCGTTTTGACTGTTCCAGATCACATACTTGATCTCAGTAGCCTCCTTGAGAGGGTTGATGAGTGTTGGCAGCAGGTGGGGATCCAGGAAAATAGCCTTAGCCTTGGTCGCAACCAGTGAGTGCTGTAGGCCAGATTCGCCAAGAGTATCGTAGGCTGTGACAATGGGCATCGATTGGGAGCATGCACCATGAGCTGTAGCAAGCCAGTGGGCACTCGTCGCGGCAAAGATGTGTACTCGGTCGTCCTTATTCAGTCCAAGCTTCCGATACCCAGCACCAATTTGCAAGATCAATTTCTCATAGTCGTTGAAGCTCATGTACTCATATCCACTGAGTTCAAAATATGTCCATTTCTTGTCAACCTCCTGCTCCTGGCCATCGATCATCTTCTTAACCTTCTTCGTCTCCTGATGGGTCTTGAGCAGCTTCCGGGAGCCGATAGCCTTCGCATTGCCGAACTTCTCCGCACTCCGTTTGACGATGTCAAAAACAGTGACAATGTCCTCGGACGGGCGTTCCCGCAGTTTGTCAACACATAGCGGATGTCTTCGTGGGATGGTCTCGCCATCTACATGTTGGTAGCCTGGAGCTTCAACACTGAAGGGGGGCTTGTGGACGATTTGTGGTAGCACCGTGGCATTCTTGAGAGACATCCTGGCGACTCTGTTGGGAAGCTCAAGCAGTGCCGGGGGAGGATGGCTGAGCACAGCAAGTAACAAGGAAAGAAGAGCAACCGGAAGAAATGTAGATGCAACAAGAAATTGGATGGGTGTTGTGTTTAATATCTTCGGGGCGAAACGAGAGATCGGGATGGATAATGTTGGAAGTCAAGTTGGGGACCTGGGGCAATCGTCATGGGCCTTACTGTAATCTTCAACGGAGCAATAAAACCGGGGCAGGGCCGCTAGCGCACGCTAATGTCAACCTTTCCAGCTGTGGCAAGCTCCAGCGGGCACTGGTGGCCCTGCACCCGGTCGGACATAGCTCTGTTAGGGGGCAAGTGTCAAGTGTCAAGTACCCAACGACCCTGCGAAACATCTTCGCATCGTGAAAGTCTTTCTTTCATCTGTTAGAGCAACCTTAGACATACTCTCGACTTGCAGTAAGTTTTTAACCATCTCCCAGCAAAAGCTCTTTTATTTTCATGTTCCACAACCTTCCCCTCATTTCCCTGTCCGACCCCATGCCCTGCAAGTCGTTTCTTTAGTGCAACACAAACTGGGCGCATCTTTTCTTTGTCTTGGCGGATGGAAAATGGCTTGGGCGATGTTCAACTGTCATACGCAACTTGGCATGTCTATCAGGCAGCCAGCCCGAGTCTTCGCAGTGCTACTCTGCAACTGCTCTGAGAATGCCACGACACATGTAGTCATGTGGCTGTTATGCTCCTCTGCCTATTGCCGGGGTTAAATCTGTTGGGCTTCTAACTCCACCATAGATCTCAATCCTCCAATGAGTCTCAAGGCTTTCTTGGAGACTCTTGGGCCTGAGGTTGATGACCCCGAAGAAGGTATAGACAAAGAACATTACTGAAATCATGGCTAAAGAAATTTTTTAGAATCCTTCCTCTTGTTTTCTCAGTCAATTCCATCTCAGAATCTTGGCTTTGTTGATTCCAAGGCTACATCTTTGGAGCTGTCTATTGGCGGTCGAGACCTTACGATACATCAGTCACCAACAATCTTGTCATCTAATCGAGGTGGAGGGACTACAGGAGCTGGTAGGGTTACTCTTATTAGGTTGTTTGAGTTCCGCTGACTTTGCAGTCGTCTGGAAAATTACCCCGCTGTTTGCATCTTGGATAGCCTCTCCATCAAACATCCTTTTCAAGCATGGAATTCTTGACACAACATCAGTTGCGCTTGAACTTGGTTGCGGAATCTCCGGGATTATCGGGCTGACGTTGGGACCGCTCATCCAGACATATGTCTTGACAGATCAAGAATATGTCATGAAGTTTCTGGGTCAGAATATAGCTGAAAACCGGTCAGGCGGCCGGTCATCAGTAATCAAGAGTCGAAAGAGCTCATCAAAACCGAAAAAAGGTTCTGCATCGTCGGGCTCAGGAATTGCCGTCAGCAATATCTGCGCAAAACCACTTGACTGGGAGACGGATCAGATTACGTCTTCGCTGACCGGCAGCGAGACGCATGCCAGTTTCGATATAGTGATCGCGTGTGATTGCATCTATAACGACGCTCTTATAAAGCCTCTCGTTGATACTTGCAGAGACGCGTGTCAGCTGCGGCCGGCGGACGGAATTAATAATCCAACATTATGTATCGTTGCGCAGCAATTACGCTCTGCAGAGGTATTTGAAGGATGGCTCAAAGAATTCCACAAGGTATTCAAAGTGTGGCGGATGTCAGACGAGAACTTGACTGATGGCTTGAAGTCGGACTCTGGATTTGTTATTCATATAGGGATCTTGCGGTTGCCCTAGCATAATATTAGCAAGCAAGCCTCTGTCACAATCTATAGAATGTACTCTCGTGACCTTGCTCAAGCTGTGCAATGATTACGGCGAGGTAAATACCGCAATCTAGAACTAGCATGAAACCTGAGCAAGTCTTGACCCCAAAATATCTCCAAAAATACTACCCCCAAAAGGGATCGCGTGAACACGTCGTCACGTGCAGTCGAGTTCAAATCGTGACTTCCACGTCCCAAAATTCGACCCAACCTAACATCAAGTCGAGGTCAACAACCTCCGCTGCCCAAACCGCCAGCAGCATTTATTGCCATTCTTCATCGT